TTAGCCGGTTGAGCTATAGGCGCCGAGCCGAGGGGGTCTTGAAGTCACCGGGGATGGGGGCTGTCTGAGTCCTCTCCACTGAGGCACCCAGTGAATCCTGGAACCCCCTTGTGGCATGTGCGTAGGGCTGCAGAAGCTCAGCTAGAGCCTCTGTGCCCTGTGTCGTGACAAGAGGAAGAAGGCAGACTCTCAGAAGAAATGTACCCTCTGGTCCTGAATCCAGCCTGTCCACAGAGGGCATGGCCCTTTTCCCATCTTCAGCAGCCCTGGGTGGTGAGATGTGGCCAACCCAGGGGCCACCCAGGGGCTCTTTCCCCAGGCCCCTGACCTGATCTCAGCCCCTGTAGTGAGGTAGTTGGGGGTTGGGTAGGTTAGAGCCACCACCTGCCACAGACATCCTAGGAGAGATAGGGAACAAGTCCCCAGGAGATAGAGCAGGGACAGGGCTTGGGCCATGCCACGCCTTCTGTCCGTTTCATTCCAGGATGGAGAGAGAGGTGGTGGGGCCCTCTTGCTACCAGGTTCTGTGTTCCCATAAAGGCTAAATCGTGGATACCTCCTCACCATAGCCCAGGTGAACAGCTTCCCTCAGTATTTCTCTGTAGGCTTTGGGGCCTTCCATAGGTTACTCTACCTCTCTGGACTTCAACCCAGTGGGTCTTGCAATTTTCATGGAGTCAGAGGGACTAGGGGAAGCTTGTCCTCAAACCCCCAAGTCAGGGAATCCAAGGCCTCTCATACCACTTGGGAAAGGGAGAGGCATCACTCAACATTCCTGAGCTGCCATCCAGGCACTGCCAGGGTTTGTATGTGGGGGAGGTCTGGGGGAGGAGAACTAGCCAGCAGAACTATTTTTATTTTGGAGAAGGGAGTTTGAGGTTTGAGGGGAGTCCCTCAAATCCCTCAAGTGCAGCCCCTGCCTTAGTACCTGCTGAATTTCTTTCTGTTTTGAGCTGCAACACAGGCCTCTTCCTGTACACATTGAAATCTTCATCCCTGCAGAGCCACCACCTACCTCCTGGAGCTACGTGTTGTTTGTGCAGTGCCAGCAGCAGCCTGGAGGGGCGAATTTAAGAGAAAGCTCTGGGCCCACCAGGAGCAGCAGTCACGAAGCCTAGGGATTTATTCTCCAGCAGACACAAATGTGGACTCAGATCAGTGCTTTATGATTTGGTTTTGAGTTACAGCTCAGTACACCATGAGCTTAGTTATTAGGTCCTGGACACAACTCTTCTGAGAAGGGAGGGGTATGAAGAGGTGGGGGCCACAGAATTATGCCAGAGCTGCTTGGGGCTAGTGAGAGCAAGAACCATTGCCCTACTGGCCACCAAAGATCCTCCCCAAAGGCATCCCTCTGGTGGCAGGGTGGAGCTCCTGAGAACACCCCTTAGTAAAAAGGATCTTCACACAAATGGTCTACAAACATATAAAAGATGTTCAACAACACTGATCATCAGAAAGACGTCAATGGGGCGGCACCTGTGGCTCAGTGAGTAGGGCGCCGGCCCCACATGAAGAGATAAGCACCCCATGATCAGAGGGCTCCGGGAACACTTTCACCACATACCGAGGGTGGTGGGTTCGAACCCAGCCCCAGCCAAACTGCAACAAAAAATAGCTGGGTGTTGTGGTAGGTGTCTATAGTCCCAGCTACTTGGGAGGCTGAGGCAAGAGAATCGCCTAAGCCCAGGAGCTGGAGGTTGCTGTGAGCTGTGATCCCATTGCACTCTACTGCGGGTGATAAAGTGAGATTCTGTCTCAAAAAAAAAAGACAGATGCCAATCAAAACCACAATGTGATAACATCTCACCCCTGTTTGAATGGCTACTATAAGAAAAGAAAATAATAGGTTAGCAAGGATGTAAAACCTTTGTCCACTCTGGTGGGAATGTAAAATGGTGCAGCCAGTGTGTAAAATAGTAAGGAGGTTCCTAAAAAAACAAAAAATAGAAACACCATATGATCCAGCAATTCCACTTGTGGGTATATGCCCCAAAGAACTGAAGGCATAATTTCAAAGGGATACTGTATTTGTACACCCATGTTCATAGCAGCACTATTCACGATAGTCAAGGGGTAGAAGCAATCTGAGTGTCTACCCATAGATGAAAGGATGAATGAAATATGATATATACATACAATGGAATATTGTTCAGCCTTAAAAAGGAAGGAGCTCTTGTCATATGGATAAAATAAGCCTTTCACCTAAGCACAAATACTGCTTGATTCTACTTATCGGAAGGACCTACGGTACTGGAATTCACAGACACAGAAAGCAGAATGGTGCTTTCAGGAGCTGGAGGAAGGGGAAATAGGGAATGGTTTAATGGGTACAGTGTTTCAATTTTATAAGACAAAAAAGATCTAGGCCAAACCAAAGGGCTCACGCCTGTAATCCCAGTACTTTGGGGAGGCCCAGGGAGAAATCCTTGAGGCCAGGAGTTTGAGACCAGTCTGGGTAACATACTTAGACCTTGTTTCTATAGAAAACAACTTTAAAATTACTGGGTACAGTAGCACATGCCTGTAATTCCATCTACGTGGGAGCCGGAGGCAAGAGGATTGCTTGAACCCAGGTATTTGAGGTTACAATGAGCTATAATGACACTGCTGTACTGTAGTCTGGGAGACAGAAACAAGACCCTATCTCAATAAAAAGAAAAGGAATGTTCTGGAGATCTGTTTCAGAACCACCTAAATGTATTTAGCACTATGGTATGTTTAAAATGGTTAAGATGGCAAATTTAATTTTATTATTTAACATGAAAAAAGTAAATGAAAAAGGGGGATACTGCAACAGCCATTCAGTCCTATCTTCCCAACTCATAGATGAGAAAACTGAAGCCCTGAGAGGTGTGCCTTTGCCCAGGTACATGGCCCTGGCAAATCCAATCAGGACAGGCTTGGCAGACAGTGTGATCACAGGGCAATGCCCAGGCTCATGAGCAGCTGGGCTCAGGCTCATCCCTCCACCCTCCAGCCAGGATTGGTGAGGGCTGTTAAGAGGTGACTAAAGAGGGCTAAAAAGACTCACATGCTAGGGGGCACTTAGGCCCAAGTGGGTTATCTAGAAAATTCATTTAAGAGGAAAAACCCATGCATGGCTGATGTTCTTCCTAGCCAACTCTGACAGCCAAAGCCCTGAGCTCCTCTGGGGAAGGCCCCTGTATCCCTGGCACCCCCTCTCCCATGTCACTCACCCTCCCAGCCTATAGGCAGCTGTAATGGGTTAAAGAGTGTAGGAAACAAACCTGGATTCAAATTCCAGTTCTACTACTGCCTGAGCCTGTTTCTACATCTCTTAAAACAGGTAAGGGGCTGGGTGAGTGGCTAGGGTACCAGCCACATACACCGGAGCTGGCAGGTTCAAACCCAGCTCAGGCCTTCCAAACAAGGACAACTACAGCCAAAAAATAGTCGGGCGTTGTGGTGGGCGCCTGTAGTCCTAGCTATTTGGGAGGCTGAGGGAAGAGAATCACTTAAGCCCAAGAGTTTGAGGTTGCTGTGAGCTGTGATGCCACAGCACTCTACCAGGGTGACATAGTGAGACTCTTGTCTAAAAAAAAAAAGTAAGGGGCTGATTCAGAGCATACACATTGCAGGTGTTTAGTAAAAGGCAGCCAGGTGCTAGTTAGTACCCCGGGCTCTAGTGCTGGGCTCATTGTTTCTATCCCGGGACCACCATTTCCTCTGCGTGACCTGTCTATGCCTTACCTGATTCATCTGTAAAATGGGACTAATGGTACTTTCTAAGGTTCCCGTAAGGGTTAAGTGAATTAGTTCATTTATGAGGGTTTGGAACCATGCCTGGCACATAGTCTGTGCTCAGATACAACCCACCGTTGGGAAGTACAGAGGCTGGAGTGTGTGTGTGTGTGTGTGTGTGTGTAGCCTCCAGGTATCCCAGTCATTTTCTTTTACAATGGCCCCAGGTGGGGTCTAACAACAGAAGATACTGTGGTGGGGATGGGCAGAGCAGGTCTGCCTCCTACTTAAGGAGAAGGTATCTGGTCCTTGTTGAGTGAATGAATGCATGTTTGTGACAGGAGGCCCAAGCAATGAGCTTCTAAGGGGGCTGGGGAGATGGGGCACAGACTCAAATCACAGGTGGTGCAGGGAGTGGGAGGGGGCACTGAGGGCAACTGAGGAGGCAGGAGACCCCTTGCGAAAGGGGTCTGGCTGGATAGGGTGATAGGGTGGAGGGGTTGATGGAGTCATGGCTAGTCCACAGCTGTCCTGAACTACCAGCCAACAGGGAACTCCCCTGAAATGTCACTAGCCCCAACAGACACTGACCCAGCCTAGAAGCTGCTGCACTCCTTTCTCTGGGGGTGCCCCCCAAGAAGGACGCCTACTGGCCTAGGCCTACACCCCTACAGATACGGAGGGGTCAGGCACAAAACACTTCCCCAGCCGCACTCTGGCTCCTCAGAGGCCCTGGCCACTCCCACCTTTCACCTGAGACCCTTTGCTGAGAACCCATCTAAGACTTAGCTGAGAAACCCAAACGCTGAGCTTCCCCAGTCCCTGCCTATGCTGCTGGCAGACATCACCAGTCAATCCTGCCATGATCCTATTGAGCACCAGGAAGCTCAGGGTTTTAACTCTGAGCTCCAGGCTCCTATTAGATTGGAGCTGGTCATCCCTGACGGCGAGGAGACCCAGAGGAACTTTCCAAAGATCCACAGCTAGGCTGTTTTCCCCAGCAGCAGTAACTGCAGCCTGTGGAATGCTAAGAGTGGACTCTAATAGTCCTCTCTGCAGCAAGGAATTGGTGGTAGTGATGGTGGTGGGGTGGCTTCAGGATTTGGGTTTTAATCCCAAGCACGAGGGCGGGCAAGGAAAGGATTTGGTTTCATTCCTCTAGATGCCCAAGCCTTGGCTGGAGCCCCAGGGTGCAGGAGTGAAGGCGCGTGGCCACCCAGCCTCTACCAACAAAGACTTCCTTTATTAAATAAAGATCGTGTTACATTCCATTCAAAGAAGGAAATCCAGACATGGTGAGGGATATGTCCAGGTTGGAGCCCCTAACCCTAGTCCCAAGTGGGCTGTGATGGGCAAGGAAGGGCCCAGGTCCTGCCCACCCCACTCTGCCCCCCTGCTCATGCAAGGGCTCGTTGTCTCCACAGCCACCCACAGTGGAAAACAGGAACAGGCATCCTGAGGCCGTGTCTGTGTCTAACCAATACCTCCAGAGGTTTTGAGAGTAGCGCCTTGAGAAGCACAGGGCTAGATCAGAGAGGGAGGGGAGGTGATTCATCTCAGAATGCTCTGGGACAGTACCCAGCCATGCACAAGTGGAATGGGCAAGCATGTGGAGGCCCGACCAGTCCTCCTAGCCCTGCTGCCACGGGCCCTTGGAGGCCACCAGGAACAAGGTGTGGGATGGCCACAAGAGAAGCTTGTAGCCCAGGCTTAGGAGCTGGGGTGGAGGATGCTCTGGAGATCTGGCCACCTCACGACAATCTCTGAAGATACGCCAGCAGTAAGGCACCTGAAAGCAGCAGCTCTCTGAACCAAGGAAAGGGGTGCTGAACCCCTCAAGCGTCCTCTTCTAAGGGCCAAGTCTCCCAAATATGGCTCCAAACTCCTTGGTCTTTGGTGCTTTCTTGAAATCCTCTTGCTGGTTGCAGAACTCAATGGGGAAGAGAGAAGCATCTTCTATCAAGTCCAGGCCTGGCTGTCCCAGGATAGAGTGTGGTACTGGCTCAGCACTGCCTCTATGGGCTGTCCATTTGTCCATCCATCTGGCTCCTGGCTCAGGGCTGGCTTCAGCAGCCTGTCTCCCTGTCAGCTTGTCCTGGGCAGGTGTTTGCTCCCACTTAGAGCCCCCCTCCAGGCCACACCCTAAGCCTCCTGGGGGAAGAAACCAAGTTTGGCCAGTGACATTTCCTTCCTCAGCCTGGTGACTTCCCAGAACATTGGCTCTGCTGCAAGCAGAAAGAGAGTGGACAACTCAGGGCCAGCTCAAGGTCACCTCAGGCAGATGGCCTGGCCCCTCTCCCTGGCATTGGGCAGGGCAGCTGGCAAGGTACACTACTAGGGTTCTGATCCCTAGGACAGATGACCTTGGCCAGTGGCTAGACATCTCTGAGGCTTCACTCTGGACCTTAGAAACTGGTGAGCACTGAACACGCTGACACCCCCGCAGCCTGATGCAGACATGTACATACATACTGCCACACACTCAAGCACTCAGCGGTGATGCCGCCAGACCCAGGAGCTGCATGCTTGGGGTGTCACAGGGACCCTGAGCACTGAGTGGAGCCAGTGTCAGTCAAGGCATCTGAGGAGGCAGGTCCTCAAGGCTCATTTCCAGGCCTAGCGTATGTGAACAGCCATTGTGCTCCAGCCTTGGGGACTGGACCTCTAAGACAGGAGGAGACACTAAGGAGATAGCTCCTTACTCAGAGGCTTAGGCAAAGCTAGTTCAGAATATTTACTAGGGAACAGTTTGGTGGCACAGGGCAGAGGATCTGTCAGATAAGAGCCACAATGGTAGGAAAGGCCTGGAGGTAGGCAAGCCTGTGTACAGGTAACTATACAGGGGTCCTCAAACTTTTTAAACAGAGGGCCAGTTCACTGTCCCTCAGACAGCTGGAGAGCCAGACTGCGGGCCCCAGGACGAGTCAGCTGCTAAGGAGGACAGGCAGCGGTGGCAAAAACACCCGGCGGGCTGGATAACTGTCCTAGGCAGGCTGCATGTGGCCCGTGGGTCATAGTTTGAGGACGCCTGAAAGACTTGGCTGAGAGATTCCCCAGTCCCTGCCTATGCTGCTGGCAGACATCACTAATCAATCCTGCTATTATCCTGCTAAGCAACAGGAAGCTCAGTGCTTTAACTCTGAGCTCCAGGCTCCTATTAGACTAGAGGTAGCCATTCCTGAGGGTGAGGAGACCCAGAGGTGATCACATCAGGAGCAGGAAAGGAGTCACAGGGGAGGCCCCATAATGCAAGCCCTCAAATGCCAAGCCAGTAACAGGAATGGTGTCCTTCCAGGTCCTGGAGATTGGGAGAGGTCTCTGGGCAGAAGAAAGACCAGGTTGACATAGACCCGGGATGGAAGGTACAGGGGGTTGTCAGACTTGCTGTCCTATAAGGCAGGACCCAGGAGGCTCTGTCTGCAGCTCACCCATAGAACTCAGCACCAGGAGGTCTGTGAGCCCAACCAACCTACAACCTTCCTCCTTGCTAGCCTCAAGGCTGTGGGACCCAGGATCCCGCCTGGGCTCATAGTCAGGGAAACCCAGAAAGCACTCGCCTTCCCAGCCCGTGTCGCATGCCATCCCAACAATGGCCACCAGGGGGTGCTCACCGTCCTGCCGCACGAGGCCTTGTTGGATGTAGCGGATGTAGGTGAAGAAATTGCACACTGCTGTGATCTGTGGACGGCATTAGGCAGGGGGTGAGCCGCTAGTTTCCACACTCAGGGTCCCCCAACCAGGTAGAGCAGCTCTGAGACCAGAGCAGAAAGTCCCTCAGGCCCCCTTCGGAGCTAGGTAGTGCTGACTCAGATAGGGATGGGCTTTAAAATTTTCCTTAATAGCAGCAGCAAGACTAACCCTGCTTCTTGGGGGTTAGTCTGGCTGCAGTCTTGGCTCAGACTCTGCCTTGGGGATGCTCAGACTGTGGAGAGGGCGCTGTTGGTGCCGTGCCCAGGGCCCCACCCCCAGGGGCCAGGAGTGTTGGCTATTAATAGCCATAGGTGCCCCCACCTGTACCTCTATCCCTAACTCCCTGCAGACCTCAGCCAATGGGGAAGGAATAAGAAAGGCCAGCCCCTTTGCTTCAGGGTGGACCCAACTGGGTGCTGCAGAACCCTGGAGATCTAGATGGGGTGGAAGCTGGGCTCCTCCCACCCTGCTTCCCTGGCTCTCCTAGGAGTCCTAAGTAACCCAGCCTAAGCCAGGGTAGAAGGTGGTTGCTAGCTGTGCTTGCAATAGGCCCTGCTGAATGCCCAGTGCTCTGGGGGAGAGGGACAGACACCCAAAGGCTGGGGAGAGGGGGGACCAAAGTGCAAAGTGACATAGCATGACGTTTCCTGTTAGACAGCATGATGACAAGTGGGCAAATAGCAGCCTGTTGGGCAGCAGCCTGTCCAGACCTTGACAGTTTCCACAATCATTCAGGTGAGTTGTCCCACACTCAAATGAGAGTGAGTTATCAGCATACTGAAGAGAGAGCCTCCTGATGGCTTTGAAGTATGCTGTTCTGCTTTGACAAGGTCCTGTGGCAGGGAACTACGGAAGCCTCTAGAAGCTCAGTGTCCCTAGCCAGCAGCCTGCAAGAAAACAGGGACCTTGTTCCCTCAACCACAAGGAACTGAATTCTGCTGATAGCCATGTGAGCTTGGAAGAGGACACTGAACTCCAAAAGGAGCACACACAGCCAACTGGCATCTTGATTGTAGCCTTAGGAGGCCCTGAGTAGAGGACCCAGTGCCTGACTCCTGATCCAGGGTAACTGGGAAATCACACGTGCATGTTGTTTTATGCCGGTGTGCTGACAGTACTTTGTTACATACTAACAGCAAACCACTACACTGAGCTTGGCTGTGTGGCCCGAATCAGCCTCTGCACCTCTGAGTCTATTCTGCTTTGCAGATTGAGGTAGAGTCCTGTTTGTACTTCCAGGCTGAGTCCCAGCCAAGTGACACTTGTAAAAGATGACTTACCCTGGCCCGAGACGATGGTGAGATGTAGTAGTGGGTCTCAGAGTCCCCAAGCCGGATACGATGGCGGCAAACACGGGCCAGCCCACTCAGGGCACATGTGCTGAGGGGAAGCAAAGGGGACTGTGGGACTGGCTGTGGCTTGGCTATCCCATGCATGTGGGTAGTATGCAGCAGCCAGACGGTGCATGGAGGAGAGGCAGGCAGGGGTGGGGAAGAGAGGCCAGGCTATGGGAGGGAGGCCAGGCTGGGGGTGCCCAGCAGTTTTGGAATAGACCTTTTTTTTTTTAGAGACAGAGTCTCACTTTGTCACCCTCAGTAGAGTGCTGTGGTGTCATAGCTCACAGCAACCTCAAACTCTTGGGCTCAAGCGATTCTCTTGCCTCAGCCTCCCAAGTAGCTAGGACTATAGGCGCCTGCCACATGCATGGGCATTTTTTAGAGACAGGGTCTTGCTCTTGCTTAGGCTGGTCTTGAACCCATGAGCTCAAGCAATCCACCCGCCTTGGCCTCTCAGAGTGCTAGCATTATAGGGATGAGCCACTGCACCCAGCTGGGATAGACCTTTAAACAAAACTGGACCCCACCTGGAGGCCCTTGGCCTTGCCGCTTAATGGGCAAAAGAGCTTAGTTAATCTCATTACAAAATTTTATAAAGTATTGTTTACATGTTGGCTACCTCTTGGTAAAATTTTATAATGAATGTTATAAATAAAGGTACATTTAACCACAATTTCCCATTTTCCCTATATATGACAAGTTTTGATACACCCTATAGTTAGGGAGAATCCCAGGTAGAAGGTTAAAAAAGCTCCTTGGCTATAGGACTTATCAGAGCATTTGTTGCCTCCCAATTCACTGTGACTCTCTGAGTGGACCAGAGAGCCCTCTTTCCAGGGAGCATCTATTGATGGCTTATGGAACACTGACTGAGCTGGTTAAAGCCCAAACCAGTAAAGCATCTCTATATCTAACCCCCAGCACCCTCTGCAATCCCAGCCCCAACTACTTGCCCACTTACTGCTCTTCCCACTGCCCCGGTGGTGTTCTGTTAATAACCCTTCTTCTCATACCTTCACTGATTCTGCTCCCTCTGCCTTAGAAGTCCTTCCCTACTTGGAAAATTACTATTCATCAATCAAGACCTGGCTTAGGCTCGGCGCCTGTGGCTCAAGTGGCTAAGGTGCCAGCCACATACACCTAAGGTGGTGGGTTCGAATCCAGCCCGGGCCCACCAAACAACAATG